CACCACATTTTAAAAAAAATGAATAAAGTGAAGATGTTGTATCCATCTACAACTAAAAAAAAATATATTAAAAAAAGAGATTATATTGTAGCCCACTTAGTTTAAGTACATGCTGTGAGTTCCATACAAGGAACATTCCATACAACACATTTCTCAGAAGATGTCTCTGTTGTTGAGTAGAGGAGCATGGTTCTAGTTCTTTCCTTTGAGCATTTTAATGGCTTGTGGAAAAAAAATTTAATATTTATTTGTTAGTTTTAGGTGGACACAACCACTGAGCCACAAACCTCAGCCCCTGGCTTGTGAAATTTATGTCCAGTTGGAATTGCCTCTGGTCAGACTTTGCACCTTTAATACCATGATGTCGCTAAAAAGAATCTTCATTCTTTTTGCTCTGGTAACACTCTGAGTCGCATCAGAGTCAAAGTGACATGAATGACCTTCTTTGCTACTTGTCACCTCACTTAGCCACTCAAGGAGAAGGGAATCTGTATCGATAGATGGTAATCTTCCTAGAGAACCCCAGGTGCCTTCCGTCCACAGCTTTTTCCATCTGTTTGGAGGGCTCACATTGTCATCACTCACTCTGTAGTTAAGGTCATGCTGAGATAGCTTCAAGGCACTCTGGTCACGGTTAGAAAGAAAGAATTGAGTAGCTACCACTTAGCAGTGGCTTTAGATTGACATATTCTCAGTCCTCAGAGATAATGCCAACTTATAAAAATGTCAAAATAATTGCATTTTCACCTTTTTTTTTTTTTTTTTTGGTGGTGGTGCTGTGGATTGGACCCAGGACCTTGTGCATGACAAGCAAGCACTCTACCAACTGAGCTACACCCGCAGCCCCTATATAGCATTTTTTTAAAATATTTTTTTTAGATGTTGATGGATCTTTATTCATTTATTTATATGTGGTGCTGAGAATCGAACCCAGGGCCTCACACATGCTAGGAAAGTGCTCAACACTGAGCCACAACTCCAGTCCCTATATAGCATCTTAATTGGCACATTTAATATTATTTGACCTGAGAAATTTCTTCTCAGGTTTCCACAGACTTCACTGACCCTTGTAGAAAAGGAACTTAGACAAGTCTTTTCAGTGTTAGCAGATGGCATAGAAGCAGAAAGGGAACCCTTACTTTGCCAACCCTTCCATTAAGTCAGCCTGGTGTCAACATCACTGAGATCAGGAAACGATGCTGTGCCTTCAAAGATTTAAAGTTAGTTCCATCTGGAGAACCTTTTAAAGTAGTCTGATAGCAAAAGAGGTGTCATGTGAAGAAAATTTTACAGTCAGCATTTAGTGTGTGTGTTGGGGGGAGATGTCAGCAACTTCAGTAGGAGAAATTCTTAGGCATCTTAGCTTTGGATTGAGAACTAAAGGCAACAGAGTGTTTCCGAGAAAAGGCTCTCAGGATGTTAACATACCATTGTGGATGGAACTTTCAAACAAGTTTGGAATTGAATAGCTAGGAATACAGGGATAGATTACCAAACGCAGTGTAAAAGCTTTACTTTGACAAGCAGAAGGAAAATGTGCAGTAGATAAGTTTTTCTTTCTTTTTTTTTTTTTTTAAGAGAGAGTGAGAGAGGAGAGAGAGAGAGAGAGAGAGAATTTTTTTTTTAATATTTATTTTTTAGTTCTCGGCAGACACAACATCTTTGTTGGTATGTGGTGCTGAGGATCGAACCCGGGCCGCACGCATGCCAGGCGAGCGCGCTACCGCTGAGCCACATCTCCAGCCCCAGTAGATAAGTTTTTCAAAGAAAATTTTGTGTTTAATCTTTGAGAATTTGAAGAATTTGGGCTGTGTGTTGCGTTTTGCTCTGTAAAAAAGAAAAAAAGGTTGGATATGATGGCTGATTTCACCTCTTTTTAAGTGACTTAAAAGATAATTTAAGATAATTTCTCCAAAGATAATGATAGATCTGAGTCCATTAATTGTTTAATGAGGTTTTGGAACATAGTGCTGAAGCTCAGTCATGCGAAATTTAATATTTTTAGTTCTGATCCCAGCTGTTTCTACTTATCATGTTACTGTATCTAACACGTGTGCACAGCATCCTAAAGCGCATAGAGGCAGATAACACGGCATATGTTTTGGAGAACACAGCACATTTTTCCCCTCGGCTCAGGCTGGGACTTGGTATTCCAGGTGGAGATGCTGCTACTGGCTCTCCCCAGTTGCTTCTTTAAGGATTCAAAAAGTCTCTCATGAAAAAGTATCCACCTGGTGAAAAATTGTAGGTGGTACTGGGTATGGAAAATGTTTAACTGCATAAACATGAGTTGGTACCCAGGGTGCTTCCCATGCTCAACCCTCAACTGTCTTCCCAAGCTCCCCAACTTCTCCCATAAGCAGCCACCATAGCAGATCCTCACAGTTCCCAGACAGCACTCTGTTTCCCTCCCCCACCTGTCTACCAGAACCATCATCGTGCTCTTCCCTCTGCTGATCACCTCCCACTTAACCCAGTAGGTCTTCCATGACCCCCCAGCCTGAACTGGTTTTCCTGGTCTGTCCTCCTTATCATCCTGTGACATGCCCACATTGATCGTATCACCTTCTGCCTGTTCTGCCTCCTGCTGGACTGAGAGTTCTTCAGCAGACAGGGGTGTGTTCTCAGGTTTGTATTGCTGCTGTCAAGAGCCCTGTACCCAGGGGTGCTCTGCTTGGGTGGGTGTGTGGGATGTGAGAGCAGCTGGTTCCTTTGTAGGAAGAACTGGCATGTGCCTCCTTGCCTCTGATTGACGTCCTGGTGCTCCGTTTCCCGATAGCCCAGTCAGTATTTGAACATTTGCCCCAGATTCTTGTCCCTGACGCATAAAGTGTCCAGGACACAAGCACAATCTTATTACCACTTTCCGGAACAAAGGCCATGATTCTGGCCTGTCGCCATTGACTATGGGATGCTGGGCCAGGTATCCACTTACTGCTTTGCAGCTCCAGAGCCTCCTGCTAGCCTGCTGGGGCTAGGCTTTGTCCGTATTGACCCCATCAGCCATGTCACAGTGGAGGGCTAGTTTCTGTGTGTTCCCAGGGTGTCTGATCTTGTTGGCCTTCGTAGGGAGTGGGAGTAGCAGCAATGGCATGCTTCTCCTGTACACACTGAAGGCAGCCACAAAGTACCCACCAAAGAGGACCCCCACTATAATTAAGCTTCTCGTAATGTCAGCAGGATTTCTGCAGAGAGCTCGTTGTAGTTTGAAGCTTCCTCTTTGTTGTAAAAGCCAGGTTTGCAACTAGATGTTGTCATAGACTTTGCTTCAAGGAAGCTTACTGTGCAAAAGTTACTATTTCTGTTTTCTGTGGTTAAAAACTGGTAAAACCTCTATCTGACCTAAGATATGGGACAAAAAGTAACTGCTGTGTAACCACACTGGCATGTAACCACCCCACTGAGAATAAATCTAAAGAATTTTCAGACCTGGGGTCCAGAGATTTTTAGGCGTTAGCTTCTCTGGACTGCTTTGAACAGCTTCTGATAGCAGGCGCTTCTTGACACACACAAGCCCTGACCTGAGACTGTGGACCATTCTGACCCAGTTCTACATGGAAGGCTTGTCCGCTGTCCAGTGGTTTTCATCTATACTCTCTTAATCGAATCTCTATTTCTACAATCCCCTGTTAATAACTTGTTAAATTTTGTTTGGCTTCTGCCTTCTGGTTGGGACCTAGCCAGCACAGGTGCCCTCTCCTTTAGATGGCCAGCTTCACTTCCCACCAAGTGGACCATACGGGTTCTTTGGGGGCCAGCCTAAATGATGCCCCACTTATTTATTCCTCCTGAGTTCCTGCCTTTAAACAGGTACTAGGCTTCCCCCTCAGGTGAAGGAAGACAGCTTGAACCCAACAGGAGCTCCAAGACTAGGAGAAAAAGTTAGAGGTTAAGTGTGTTGACTTAGAGAGGGGTGGAGGGTTGTGTGTGTGTGTGTGTGTGTGTGTGTGTGTGTGTGTGTGTGTGTGTAAGGTTAGGAGAGAGAATTGTGACAAACTTGATGTTGTTCCTCTCAGAGCCTAAGGGACAGATAGATGAAAATTCATGAAACTGATGAATATTTACCACTTCAAGCACCCAGAGACGCCCATAATAGAAAACATAACTACTAAGTATAGTTTTGTCCGTTAATATTCTCTTTCCACACAGCACTTGAGGTAGATAAGGCTTTATTTTATCATTCCATCTCTGAACTCCTAAAGGGCGGACACTTGCCTCTTGCACCTGCCTTGCCTGCCACACATTAAATACATAGTAAATGTTTTTGGCTGAAGGGCAGCACACTGGGTAGATGGTACTTTGTTTTCTATCCAAGAAAGCCTTATCACCAATGTCTTCTGTTAATAATTCATAAACAATGATATGCAGATTTTTCTGTACTTGAAATGTGAACAAGGAGATTATCAGTAGGTTCAGTGTTCTTGTTCCTCTCCAGCCATCTGTAAATCACATCTTCCATGCAGGTGGGCACCAAGCAGAATTAGGTATTTTATACACCTAGTTTTCAGATCTCCCTGTTTCACAGATGTAGCAACAGCTTGAGTAATTTACCCAGATTATGCTAATAAAAACTGTGGCTCAGCCAAGCTGCAAATCCATGTTGATACCAAAGCTCCTGCGGTTCCCACTGTGCTATGGGGCTCACCATGGGTGGTTCCTGTGGTGGGTCAGGCACCTGCCCTGTCCTGTGCACGCTCACCTAAGGAGTCTTTTTCCTCTTTAGAGGTACCCTTGCTTCCTTGTTCCTAGGCAGGTACTTGTTCCTTTTTCTTGATCATGTTGGCACATGTAGAAAGGGCTCAAAAAAAACCTCAGGGGGTTGAAAGTCTCTCCCCAGTTGCTTCTTTAAGGATTCAAAAAGTCTCTCATGAAAATGTATCCACCTGGTGAAAAATTGAAGGTGGTACTGGGTATGGAAAATGTTTAACTGCATAAAAGCTTAATTAAAGCCAAACCTCTGTGGGGCAGACATAACTCTCATCTTTCCTTTTTCTTCTCAGGTGCTGTTACCCCCGTATGATGATGCCACTGTGAATGGGGCTGCCAAGGAGCCACCGCCACCCTACGTGTCTGCCTGAGTCTGAGAGTGGATGGAGTTGAGAGCAAGCAGCTCAACTTTTCAGACACCTGAGCAATAGTTCTGTAATTTCAATTCTGAGATGAGCTCTCTGAGGCTTGTTTGTTTTTGAATTGTCACATTTTACAATTTAGATGTTAAGTTGAATCCCTCTGTAGTTTTGAACACATGCTTTAGCTAGAGCACTTTGGTAGTGTAGCTATAGGATTCTTTCAGTAGGGGTGAGGCAGTAACAGATCCATTCATCTTTCTCCAAAATACAGAGAGACCTTGAGTCCCCAAAGTCTGGTTTTGTACCTGCTTGACCCTAAAGCTAGGCAATTAGTCACACTTTTTCTATTTCTCCTCTCTTTTGAAAATATAAGATCAAAATTAAACGACACCTTTCTTAAACCGTTTGGTGTATAGAACAAACTTATGAAAGTGAGGAATGTTAATTGTGTGATCATTGTTCTTATTAGATAAACAGGAGTCCTCATGTATATGTTACAGTAGTTTTCCTACTATCCTTTATGACTTAAATTCAGTAACAATTGGAATTTACTTGTCAAGGATTTCAGCCACCCTCCATCTCCTCCCTTCCCGGGATGGGGGTGGGGGCTAAATGGAGACCATTAGGCAATACCAGGCTGTGGGAAACTACTTCTCTGCGTTAGAGGAGGGACTGATTGGTTTGGCATCGCATGGGACCTGGTATTCTCTTCTCCTAGTTTCCATCCTTCCCAGGGCCCCGTTTTACTATGTGTCCTACCTGGCCTTGATCCAAGGAGAATCATATCAAGTAAAATCACTGATATGTGTTTGCCTAAAAAGGTTTTCTTCTTTCCCTCTGAGGTCCATCCTACTACTGTGAATTTCTGAGTCTGCCTAGTCGTCCTTTAAAAATGTTAAGCAGTCTCTACTACCTGAATGGCAAAGGACTTTTATATGTTCATATGTTCAAAAACTCTCCTGCTTGTTTATTGTTGATTGTGCTGTAAATGAAGGCTTTTGCAATTAAAGTGAGATTCGCCCACCTCCAAGAAATAACCTTTTGATTCTGTGGTGATTGTGCCCTTCCTGTCCCCGCAGGGCCACTCTGTAAAAGAAGTGGGCTTTATAGCTCGTTTCATACATAAATGTTCAAAATATTTTCATATTTGATAAAATCAGACTTCTTAGACCAAGAAGAATGGGGTACAAACAGACCCCAGCTTCCAGCATTCCTGCACCTGCCTTTAGGTCTAAGCACCAGGTGTTCAGCATTTTTTATAAGCAGTCGAGATACTACTACATTCCAAGGACATTAAAATAAAAGGTGGAGGGGAGATTTTATTCCTGATTCTACCTTAGTTGTTTTTAAATCTCATTCAGTATTCTTTACAAACTTGATCTAAAAAATTCTGTTCCTTGAAGCTGTATGGTGGCCCATGGTTCCACTCGGTGGTAGAGAGCTTGCATAGTATGTGTAAAGCCCTAGGTTATATCCCTAGCACCACAAAAATAAGTTGTTGGTTTTTTCCCTAAGTTTAAATGTGAAAGATTCACACAAATTTGGATCCATGTAGCCATATTTCAGTGGAAAGGCCCATCAGTGTTGTCATCCCTGTGGAAGGCACTTAGGAAATGACCGTTACTTGCATATTGTTCCTCRTGATTTTCCATCTCTTTGCATAATAAGTTTTGCAAATGATACATGGTTGAGTGGAGAGGGTTTCTGATCTTGAGAGATGCTGTAGCATCTTTGGAGAGAAACAAAGGCTGCTCTTCTGGTTTATGCAGCACCCAGGTGGCACTATGGACTTCCAATTATCACTGCATTCTCCAATATCCTCACAGGGAGTTGGTGTTGCTGGTTTTACTTGATTCTTAATAGTTCTCAGGCTAAACTCAAGAGCAGCCTCCATATTTACTTCTGTAGAGTGAGATATTTTCTTTTTGCCTCCACTATGAAAAGGCATTAAAATGACCTTGTAGAGCAAGGTCTATATAGCCCTGGAAGTCTGTTTTTGTCTCATTACACAGATAAATAGCTTCTCTTTTAAATGTATTCTAAATTCCATTTTGGTATCCTGCCACTTTCTCCTATTTTGTTGTTCACATAGAAAGAAGAACAGCCATTACCTCACTGTTTCTCATGCCTATATATTTCTTGTGCACTTTGCTGGTGAGAACCCTGATTTTTTTTTTTTTAAATTTAAAAAAAAAGTAAAAAAATTGTTTTTGGTGCTGGGAATTGAACTCACAGCTTGGAGCATGTTTGGCAGGTGCTTCACCAAACTGGGGTACATATCCAGCCCCAGTTTTTTTTTTAAATCTTGATTTTCTAACCCTGACATTGACATTGAGCCTACCACTGGAGGTTTGCAAATGGATCCACCAGTCCTGAACACAGAGTTTTAGGTCTTTTGTCAGGCCTGCCTCCATCTGGAAGTACAAACGTGCCACCACAACATGTAGAGAAGGGCAAAACTTACCGCTTTCGACTAAAGAATGATCTGTCGCTCCTTTAAAAAAAAAAAAAAATAGGCCTCCATTGAACAAGCTAGTTGGACTTCCAGGGTACCAAGTGACAAAAGGTTAGAGGCCAACAGGTTCTCTGCTTCCTGTACTTCTTCCTACATAAATATTTTGTTCAGGGGCTGGGGCTGTATAGCTCAGTGGCTGAGCAATCGCCTCACATGCGTGAGGCAGTGGGTTTGATCCTCAGCACCACATACAAAAATAAATAAATAAAACAAAGATTGTGTCCATCTACAACTAAAAAAAATTTAAAAAAAATTTGTGCAGCACTTCCCCAGAGTCTGATTAATTTCTCTCCCTTCCTATCCTGTTATCCTCAAGAATGCAGAAACAACAACAACAACAACAACAACAACAAAAAAACCCTCTCCCCCTACCCTCACTCTGTTCTGGACCTAAATACATGTTTAATTTGATTGCTTAACCAAACCACGTTTTTTTCATTTATCTTGCTTCTGCACCCTTAGATCGTTAATCAATGATTTATTACTAATGATATCAATAGATTGTCTTTAAGACTATAGCCATTAAAGAGGGATATATTATATTTGAAATATTCATCTTTTGAGAAAATGCTGCTATGCAAACTGAGCGTTCATTATAGAGGAAAACTAACGTGACTATAAAAACATTTTGTTTTTCCCCCTCTTTTAAGTTGCATTAGTTTTTGCAGCCAGTCTGGAAACTGACCTAAACATCATTAGATTAGTACTGCCAATCATGTAAGCAGCCCCAGGTTCTGGAGGGGAGAGGGTAGGTATCTTTGCCAAGGTATTAAAAGAGCAGCTCATGGAAAAGAACTGCCAGCGGAAAGCTCAGGCAAAGCCATTTCAGGGCTCCCTACCTTCAGACCTAACAAAGCACCAAAAATAGTGCCTGGGGCTGTGTGAAATGGTTTTTGGCAGCTCAGACACATGTTCTGGAAGGGAAGGAAAAAGGAGGCATTGCAGGGATGTCTCCACACCCATGGAATTTACTTCAAGTGTTTCTGCATACTGGCCAAGTTTTCTGCTAAATGGCTCATGGTGTATGGAAGCCAGCCAATCTGCACCCTCTGCCCACAGCCCCGTGCATACCTTCTGCTGAAGAGAGCACCAAGACAGCAGAAGACAGAAGATGTCACCTGGCCAATTCAGAAAAAGGTACATCAAAATGGAAGTCTGACCCCTATAGATGCATCAGTGGGATCCTTATTAGCAAGAACAGCTGCTGCTTTAGGATGAAGAGTTTGATTTAAAACACAGCATGATGGACTCAAGTTTTGTTTATTTTAGCCTATCTAACACACATGCTTTGCAAAAAAAAAGCCTTTGATTGTACAGTTTTTATCTTATTTAGCTGAGAACCTCTTGAACCTGGTATGTTAGCTTTCCATCACTAATAACACATACCCAGAGATAACTTAAAATAGGTTTATCTTTGCTCACAGTTACAAAGGTTTCAGTTTATGATCAGTGGGCTCTGTCACTCTAGGTCTGTGACAAAGCCACACATCATGGCAGGAGCTCATGGTGGAACAGAACTGCTCACTTCATGACCAGGAGCAAAAGAGGGGAAGAGGAGAAGGCTAAGTTCCTGCTRTCCCCTTCACAGGCACACCTCCAATGACCCAAAGACTTACCACCAGGCCCCACTCTTTTTTTTTTTTAAGCTTTATGTTTTTAGTTGTAATTGGAAACAATACCTTGATTTTATTTATTTACTTTTTATGTGGTGCTGAGGATCTCACATGCCAGGCAAGTGCTGTACCGCTGAGCCACAACCCCAGCCGCCCCCAGGCCCCACTTCCAAATCTTTAACACATGGGCCTTAGGGTGACAATTAAGATCTAAGCTAGCGCATCCAGGAAATAAAGTCTTTTTTTTTTTTTTTAAACATTTATTTATTTATTTATTTATTTAGTTTTTGGCGGACACAACATCTTTGCTTGTATGTGGTGCTGAGGATCGAACCCGGGCCGCACGCATGCCAAGCGAGCGCGCTACCGCTTGAGCCACATCCCTAGCCCGAAATAAAGTCTTTATTTATCAAAATGTCTAGGTAGATTGCTACAATAGAGCAAACAAGATAATTTTGAAAGTAATTGTGTGACCCAATTCATAGGCATTGAGGATTCAAACTGCATTTTGCTCAGAAAAGGCTAGGATGGTCGTTTAGGCTGCTACTGGAGCTGTGGTGTCTTGGTCCCCCTTAGACCTGGTCACAATGTGAAAGTTATATCCAATGCACATTGCCATCCCTGGTATCCTAAATTAGGGACTTCCAATGTAGGCCTTCTAGAGGGCAGATGAGGCCTCCACCTGTGGTCTCTTCCTGAGGAAAGCCCTGGCTCTGGGAAGATCAGATACAGGGGCCAGCAACAGCACAGAGGACCCTGTTTTTTGCAGTAGGGACACCCAGTGCAGTGACTTGTATGATGTCTTCATAATTCTGCAGTTTAAATAGGTCTAAGTGGGTGAATTTAAGACACTTAGAATTTCAGAATTCTGCAGATTCACCCCACTTCATACTAACAATGGTTGATCGCTACTCATTGGAGTTATCGCATCCACAGGTGGAAAGCAAGACGGGCAAAGCCATGTAAACTTGGGGTGGGTGTTTAGCTTGAAGTTATGTTACTAAGCTGTCAGTTCTCTTTTAATCAATGTACTGCAAATACCAGCTTTTCATTCGTATTAAAAGAATTTATTCAGTCCAGAAAAAAGATCAACTGAGGTGGCGTTTTTGAGTAGTTAATTGTTTTAAGCATAGCAATTTCCTTCTGAGGAAATTAGGCGCGATTGTGAACTGCAGTGATTTATCTTTGTCAAGGAGATTATGCATGTTAAGATTTCCAGCATCATAACTCAGGCCAGTAAAGGCAATGATGTAATTTGTACTATTTTGTAATTTGTACTAGGAAACCTTGAGAGCCAACTTCCTTTCCCCAGAAAGCCTGTACTACATAGAGACAGAAAAAAATAAAATAAAAGAAAGAAAGAAAAAAAAAAAAAACAGTCATTTCCCCTGGGAATGTAGTTTTGTTCTGCCCTGTTGAAGTTAACGCACCGAATCATTGTCACTGTATCCCTGAGAGTTAACTTCCCTGAACATCTTCATGGAAAACCCAGGTGTGACTTAGGCTATCAGGAAACTCTATAAACTCATATGTTTTAATAAAAAGAAACTAAGTCCAACAACTCAACTTTGCATCTCAGCCTGAAAGTGACTTCCCTTTAGAGGCTTCCGATGAGCCACAGACCTGGAAGGCATTTATTTTATGTTCTCCCGGAGCAGAATCATCTCCAAACAAGGCACATCTGACGCTCTGCAGTTATTGTCACATCTTTAATCCCCCAGTAAGTCTGTGTTATTTATTATTCCATCCGTGCCTAGCACATCTGGCAAATAGAAGGAACTAAAAAAAATATTTAAAAATATTTACTAGATGAAAAATAAAATAAGTACATGAGAAAAATTAAAGCCAGCTGTAATCCCACTCCCCGGGATCACAACAAATTCTGAAAAACAAGTC